GGTGGGCGGGCGGGGTGCCGGGCTCAACCTCGTATGAGGGAGACGGGGACCCGGGGGCCCGCTCGGACTCGACCTCGAGGGAGGGAGTCACAAAGCCAAGTGGTGGCGGCAGAGGGCGCCGTGCCGGGGGGGATGCCGGGGGCTGCCGTCGCGCATCGCTCCACAAAGGGGGAGCGGGGGCCGGCGCAGAAGGGGCCGAAGCCGTAGGAACCTGAGAAAAAGGGAACACCGTCTCGGCAAAGTACACATGCCTCGAGGTGTACACATGATGAGTGACAGGATCATAGCACCGGTAACCTTTGGTGTTAGGGGGTAGCCAAGGAAGACGCATGGGACGGATCGTGGTGCGAGCTTGTGTGGCTTGGTGGACGCGGTGCTAGGATAACAGAGACACCCGAAGATGCGGAGACCATCATAGGACGGTGGTGTGCCGAAGAGAAGGTGGTGAGGGGCGTAGTTCCACCGAGGGCGACACGGACGAATGTTAACTAAGAGAGTTGTGGTAGCGAGGGTATCGGGCCAAAACCGAGCGGGCACGTTAGAGTGAAAGAGTAACATGCGAATGCAGTCATTAAGAATGCAGAGAATGCGCACGGCGCGGTCGTTCTGCTGGGAAGTGTAGGGGCAAGTTAGACGGAAGGTGGTGCCATGAGAGGCAAGAAGTGTGCGAAAGGCGACGTTGTCAAACTCTTTTTCGTTATCAGTTTGGAGTGCAAGTATGGGGCGACCGAACTGGGTGGTCACACAGGAATAAAAGGCAGTGAGTGTGGCTAAAGCATCGGATTTACGAAAAAGGGGAAAAGTCTACACATAATGAGAATAATCATCTAAAATCACCAAGTAGTAGAGATAGCCCGTGTTACTCACAACGGGAGATGTGCAAACATCACTATGAAGTAATTGAAATGGAAAAGTGGAAACTGAAGAAGACGCACTAAAGGAAAGACGAACGTGCTTGCCTAAGCGAGAAGCCTCACAAGAGTGCTCGTCGAGCTTATCACATGAGAAAGAGAAACTCCTAAGAATTTGACGTAAGACAGTGTGGTTGGGGTAACCCAAGCGAGCATGCCAAAGGTCAACGTCGGTGGCAAGGGCGACGGGTGTGAATGTGGAGGCGCCGGCGTGCACGGGGTAGAGCTCATCGGGATTGTTACATCGATGAAGGACCATCCGAGTACGGGCGTCTTTCACAGAAAAGCCAACACCATCAAATTCAACAGTAAGTGGGTTCTCACGAGTAAGACGACGAACGGAAACTAGGTTCGTGACTAAATTAGGTGAAACAAGAACATGAGACATAGTGATGGGTGTGGAAGTGGAGGGAAAGCTAGTGCTACCGATATGACTAATAGGTAAGGAGGAGCCGTTGCCGACGCTGATACGAGTGGGTGTGTGAATGGGAGTGCAGGAGGTTAGGTTACCGGGATGAGCTGCCATGTGCGCAGTAGCACCTGAGTCCATGTACCAGTCGCCTCCACCGACAGAGCTACTCGACGACGGCGTGGAGTGCTGGACGGCGAGGAGGGTGGGGTCCCGTGGCACAGGTATCGGTGGCAGCGGAAGGCCCCCGTAAGGCGGCGCTGGGACGGGCGGGCCATAACCACCAAGAGGCGGCGGCGCAAGGAGGGCGCCGTAGCCGGTGATAATCAGGAGGAACG